ATCTGCATACCGCTTCCTGGTTAGAAGCCATCTTGGAGATTCGGGGAGGAACCTAAAATTTTATTATACAACTATGCTTACAAGATTGTATTAACTGTATTAATACTCTTTATAGACACTTACATTAACACGTAGTTCGTTTGGTTTTGATGTATAGTCCTTTACTCACCATCAATAGCTAAAATACTTTAAGTGTTTAGATAACATGTGACATACCGACATCGTCCCAATGAATTATCCTTATTATTCAGTTAAATGTAATATTCAGATTATATAGCACTAACTCTTTGGTTTAGGGGTTTTAGTAGTGTTATAGATATTTCTGTAACATTAAAGTATTTGAACTATACTGCAACTATAAATAGTAATTTAAGTTTGGTTAGTTTTGAATTTCGTGAAAAGTTACACGAGGGCTGTCTACGCTAGCCGTCCCTAATTTAGGGGTGAAAGACTAGAGGAAGGGGAGCTAGCCATCACCACTTACTCCCAACTCTCTTACCTACAAATATTGGGATTGACCGTCACATTATAACGCCTCCACAACTAAAAGGGCGAGCATGTTTAGTGGGACGGAAATGCAAACCCGCGACCCTCAGATTGCGAGTCAAGTGCCATAACCACCTGTCCATGCCGGAACAGCAATTTAAGGGTTTTCTGGTATACGAGATCTTATCCCACTCACCACCAGGCGGTCAACATCGGTAGCCACCCGCACGTGGTTGCAGCTTGAAAATACTGCCAGTCCTTGATCATCCAAGCTACTCCAGGAAGAGTGATTAATCCTAGAGTCCAACCCCAAGAAAATGCAACCGCTACCCAAAGTCGATACCCTGGACTAATCGTTTCCATTACTACAGAAATAAACCAGAAAAATCCGAAATTACAAAGCGATCTAAATATATTTTACGTCATCTTACAAGTTAACGGGGACTACATTCAAATAGTTATTGTTTGAAATAACGTTGGCTTTCAACAATGCAACCTGTATATTATTGAAACAAGATAAGTTTTATCTATTAAAACTGTTCTAACTAAAACGATACCAAAGAATGAACTTTAAGACACTTGATCCACTGTAGAAGATATTGAATTCGGGCAAGTACTAGTATCTATGAGAAGGAATACTAACATTTCGACAATAGTTACTTACTGCTAGTAGGTGATATAAAGATTTCTCACATGCATCAACAAATCATTAAATATACTAGATAGATTATTTAGTGCAGCAACATAATCCGGAGATAAAAATTAACTTTCTGTAGCTACTTGCAAAGACAAACACCTGTAGTCTGTATGGAAGAAAATGGCCAATCTTTCTGTAGCTACTTACAAAGACAAACATTTGTAGTCTGTATGGAAGAAAATGGCCAATCTTTCTGTAGCTACTTACAAAGACAAACATTTGTAGTCTGTATGGAAGAAAATGGTCAATCTTTCTGTAGCTACTTACAAAGACAAACATCTGTGTTCTGTATGAATGAAAATGGTCAATCTTTCTGTAGCTACTTACAAAGACAAACACTTGTAATCTGTATGGAAGAAAATGGCCAATCTTTCTGTAGCTACTTACAAAGACAAACATTTGTAGTCTGTATGGAAGAAAATGGTCAATCTTTCTGTAGCTACTTACAAAGACAAACACCTGTAATCTGTATGGAAGAAAACTGACAATCTTTCTGTAGCTACTTACAAAGACAAACACCTGCATTCTGTATTCCAGCTATCCCCATCGCTGAAGTAAAGCGAACGGCGTAAAAAAACGACAAGTTCGGAACAGCTGCTCCTGCATAGTCCGAGACAATAGACAGACACAGAGAATCCAGCAACACTGGACGTCGTCCAAACCTGAGTATTAACAATGAAGTCCTTAAAATAAAATAAAAACACTTAAAATAAAATGTTATGTGAAAGTTGAGATCCAGAAGTGAGTGATCAAAACTTAAAGCAATGAGTTTAATAATAAATTACCTAATAATTTGTTTTTACACATAGGTTGAATTCCTTATATTAATACATTTTGGAGCCTCACCACGTCGTTACAAGAAAACTACATTGCAAAATTATTATCAACTGAACGTGGTGACATGAACTTGCAAATTGATCGATCTTAGGTCTGCCATACCAAAAGCGCACCAATCATCTCTTTGTCATTTCCATACTCAATGCAATGTACGAAGACAATAGATTCCCAGTGACCATTTTTAAAACTCCAATCGCACAGAAGTTCATAGAGGATGCGTCTAGTTACTGACCAGTATTTCTTCGCATATACATACATAAATAAGTATAAATATTCAATATGTAGTTCTTGTAGTGCAAACTGGGTTATTTTTGACGTATACTTCACTAATTAGTCAATCTTTGACATCAGGTGAAATAGCCCTCAGTGGCTCAGCGGTAAGACTGTGGGCTTATAACGCTAAAAATCGAGCTTCGATACGCAAGGTGAATAGAACACAGATAAAATAAGCCTTTATTTCCAAATGATTTTAAACTGTGTATTCGTTTCTTCTCCTTTATGATAATGTAAAACCGAATTGTTCGGAAATTTTACTTATGAGTATCGAAATCCGATATTTAGCGTTACAAGCCCTCAAACCTATCACTGCCATCTGTAGTCAGTCGTCCACTTACTGAAGCATAACATAAATTTGTGTAATAATACTTTCAAGATACCTGTGAGATAAAGTAATGTTGTATTTGTGTAACAATACTTTCAAGATACCTGTGAGATCAAGTAGTTTGAATTTGTGTAACAATACTTGAAAGATACCTGTGAGCTAAAATAGTTTGAACTTGTGTAACAATACTTTCAAGATACCTGTGAGATCAAGTAGTTTGGAATTAGTGTAACAATACTTTCAAGATACCTGTGAGATAAAGTAGTTTATAATTAGTGTAACAATACTTTCAAGATACCTTTGAGCTCAAGTAGTTTGAATTTGTGTAACAATACTTTCAAGATACCTGTGAGATCAAGTAGTTTGGAATTAGTGTAACAATACTTTCAAGATACCTGTGAGCTCAAGTAGTTTGGAATTAGTGTAACAATACTTTCAAGATACCTGTGAGATTAAGTAGTGTTGTATTTGTGTAACAATACTTTCAAGATACCTTTGAGCTCAAGTAGTTTGAATTTGTGTAACAATACTTTCAAGATACCTGTGAGATCAAGTAGTTTGGAATTTGTGTAACAATACTTTCAAGATACCTTTGAGCTCAAGTAGTTTGGAATTTGTGTAACAATACTTTCAAGATACCTGTGAGATCAAGTAGTTTGGAATTCGTGTAACAATACTTTCAAGATATCTGTGAGCTAAAGTAGTTTTGTATTGTTTTCATTTCATTATAACGTGGATACTTTAACAATTACGAAATATATAAATATTGAACTCATTTTTGAGTTCACACAAAATTGTTCACACAATGATTTTAAAAATAACACTCTAACCTAAAAAATCATTCGTAATGAGATTCTTACAGTAAGTAGTTCTGAAAATCCTAACACAATGTCATTAATTGGAGATGTTATACAATTAGTGCCATTTCGGCATTAGAAATTAAAACAGACAATATTTAGTTTGTTAACTATTTCTTCACCGTTCCTTAACAGTAATGTCATTGTGCATGAACTAATACAGAGTTTCGACGATCGGTTTCATTATTTCTCAAACGCAAAAAGCCTCATAGCGTCACGTAGAACAGTGTTTCCAAAGGGATGGTTCCTCAATGGGTCAGCTCTAAGTTTACGGACTTCCACTTCTAAAATTAGGGGTTCAGTTCTTTGGTGGACAAAACACAGAAAGCCTATTCTGTAGCATTGCGCTGAAACAAATACGTTCACACACTCACTTATGGGCTGTTCCACAACACATTAAGGGGTTCAGTTCTTTGGTGAACAGAACACAGAAAGCCTATTCTGTAGCTTTGCTCTGAAACAAATACATTCACACACTCACCTATGGGCTGTTCCACAACACA